AAGAGGGATTCTCCAGAGAATCAAGAAAATGATGGACAACCCTGAGCATTCTCTTCACAAGACTGTCCGACAACGGAAGTGTGTCTTCAGTCAGAGGCTTCCTCAGTTTGGCTGCAACACTGACCGCTACTGGAGATCCTTCCTGCCAACAGCCATTGTAATATACAACACCTCTTTTATGTCTTGATTATTATTATTATTCTGAGCTACTACAGCAATCAGTTTCCCCTGTGGGATTAATAAAGTATTTTTGAATTGAATTGAATAGAATTGAATTTAATTGAATGTGGTAAGAAGCAGCTATGTTAGGGGAGAGGAGATTATGTGGTGATATGAGATGTGCCGAAATAGTCATGCTAATTACGAACTTTTACAAGCTGATGAATCTCAAAGTACGTGACTGGCGTGGTCGAAAAACCCATAATTACTTTTTATTTAAATTTCAGTACAACATATGTGTGATCCAGGGCGAAAGGCAAAGCGGGTTGGAAAATAATGTTTTTAGCCCCGTTGACTTGCATTAATTTTGTCATTCTTCCGGGGACCCGTGATGCGGAAGTGACTTAGGCTCATTATTGTGATGTCCAATGTCACATGACTCCTTTAAATTGTTATATTATGTATATTATATTATGTTTCTATGTAACGTTATGTTGATACAGTAAATGTACTAAATGTTGTTGTTGACAACCACAAGCTCTTTTGTGGCTACATTGCTCCTGCTGCTGAGTTAATTCGTCAGCACATCAGAGAGGAACAGCCTTCACCTGTTCTGTGTCCACATCAGAAGGTATAACCTCTATGTGATCACTTGTCCATCAGGTGTTTGTTTTGAACAGATTAGTTGGGCACTTTGGAATTTGCCAGCTATCTGCTGAACATTTCACCCGCCCAACATTAGTGTTATTCCTCCGAATGTTGACTTTCCTCTGAACAATTTGTGAACGATTACACAATCCAGGGTCTGAGATCAATGAGTGTGCTGTTGGTTTTAGAATAGTCCTGAATGTGCGAGGTTGTTCAACTCCTGTAATGTAACTCAAACAAACCAATGAGACCCTTCATCAACCGTACCTTTACCATTGGTAAAGACGTCACATTGTTAAAAAGTCCACTGCCACACAAAAGCCTGACCGTTGTGCTGTGAGGAGTCCTGAACCCCAAAAGTGTACATGTGGTAAGCTGGGTGTTTCTATTTCACTCCTCTGGTATCTGTCTCCTTATTCTGGGTCTTCACTCAATCATTAACCTAATCTACTCACTAACAATCCTCCCACTCATGATGTTTGCATGAGCTAGATGATAAGCTATTTGAAGTTAAATATGGTGTTGGGACAACGATTGTCAGGGTTTAACCAATCTATGTGCCTTTGATTTAACCAGGAGGTGGTGCATTATTAACAGAATATTTATTGTTTATCTGGTTTAAATCAAAACAAGTTTGAGATTACTCTTTGACTTTGACACTTGTGGTTTGGGCTCTCTGGATGTGTTTGAACTCAGCTGCGAGATCTACCGGAACAAAGCTAATGGACAAACCATGATTATTTTCCTATTTGCTGTTGACTCATGACAGTTTGGACACACGCCAGATGTGAAGCCCGCAGCTTCAGCTGTAGTTTGGAAGAGAGAATGCTTTCTTTCCGAGGTCTTACAGAGAAAATAATTACTAAACTTAATGGGTTGAAAAAATATGGAAATGTTGCACTTTCACCTTCATTAAGGGGCTTGAACAGGCAGGGTTCGCACAGTTTTATATTTTAACAATTATTTAGTTACACAGCGGTTGCGCACCTTTTAAATAAACACCAAACAAAAGAGTCCGAACCAGCGTCTGGAGTTAGCATGGCAGCTAGCATTTGTTGATCGACAGCGAGACCGACGCAACAGCTCACGGCTCTGGTCTTTTTCTCAGCTACGTTTACATGCGCCAAATTTCCCCTATTCGATTCAAATCTTGGTTGATTGGAAATCCCAAATTTCTGTTTATATGGACACTAACTGAAATGATCTGATCGTGTTGACATCCGTTTTTTTATCTTTGTGTGCATGCGCAAGTCGCTGGGTGGCAAAAAGAAACACATAATTGTCTGGGTATTCCAGAAAGCGAGTTTCAAACATTGAGGATCTCCTGATAAATCCCTGTTTGACAAAGCGCTCCCGTCCCAGTTTTGTCAGCTCCACAAACGATACTCAGGTGGATTCAGTCACTGAGCAGTCTGCTTAGTGACGTATGCTTTTGGAAGTTGCGCTCATGACGCAGCATCTCCTGTTGGAGCAAGACGTCGGTACAGTTTGACTCACAGAATCTTGCCCCCTACAGTGAGCCACATTTCTGGAGATCTCACTGTGTGACATGAACAATGCTGTGATCCAGGCTTAAAGAGCCTGATGCTCCTCTTCAGACCCATGTGCTGTTTGGAACCTCTGAGCTCTAAAATAAATTCAGAGGGAATCAATCATGCACGACAAATATACGTATATAAAGATATATATTTTAGAATAAAATATATAGTAGGTAGCACAAGCTGTATATCAATGGCCTTGTTAATTCTGTCCTCTATAAGGGACTAATTTAGTACAGTTGTAGAATTAGACTACAGATGTATTTTGGGTTTAATTATGAGCAATAAGATGTAATGATTCTATATAAATATACAGTATCAACCTGATTGATCTTTGAATGTTTGACCAGAAGAATTAGGATTCTTTGTTTATTCAGGGATCGTAACACACTTCGTATTAATTCAGACAGAGTCAAGTTTATGAAAAGTAAGACATTTATTTTCTGAACAAATTATAAAACGTGACAACTAGGAAACTGTGAAGTGGTGAGTGTATGATGTAGTGTAACATGTTGTGTGAATGTGATGTTATCAGAACCATGCTATCTGAAAGAAGCGGAGTTCTGAGTGTGATTGAATTTGGTCTGCATTAAACTAGAACGTTGAACTCTAATAAAACGGCATCAGACGCAATCTGTCGTGCTTACGTACTCTTTCTTTCGGCGACCCCCCCTTCCCCAGGGTAGATCCAGAATATGTCGAAGTCCGTGGACTCCAAGGCACCGAGGTCCGTTGGAGAAACCGCAGCACCACGAGCCCGGTCTTCGAGTTGTCTCCAGGTTACAACAGGTAGTGTTTTGCGTCTATGGAAGGACTCTTAAGGAGTCTTGGCTGTGTCAGGTTTGTTCTGAAAGAAGCTTTGCGGTCAGCTGTAGCGTGCAACAGGTTTTGACAGCTTGTCAAAGATGCGATGGGAGAAGAGTTTTCCTCCGGTGGCCGAGTTCGACTAAACTACTCACTGAATCACTCAGCAAGTGATTCTGTTTTAACTATTGCCATATTATGATGACATGGCCAACCAGAATTTAACATGTAAAGAGACGTTAACAAACAAACCTCAGAACCACACCTTTCCCAGATCAGGGATGCTCTGATTTGTGGATAAGTAAATATCTATGTGCAGTGACGTTAACTTTAACTTGCGTCATGGAGATATGGTGAGTGTGTGCTTGTCCAGTCACATGTGCTGATTAAATATATGGGTAATATATTTCATTTCATCCTTATTAATCTAAGCACAGATTAATCAAAACATTGTTATTATTCTTCAGACATTATTGTTTATTCAACCATATGATTATTTACGTATTTCCTTGCATCATCCAGTATTCGCTATTATAACGGTTCCTTCTTATAAAAGTTCATTCTTCTTGATCTGTGAAGCAAAGCAGATAAAGATAAGAGGAAGCTTGAGAGGGACCTTAGTCAAGCAACAGTACCTCTTTTGCAGATTAAAGGCTCCACTTAAGACTTATGTCTCCACATGAGCGGCTACTGAAGAGATCAAACTGTAGATGAAAAACTGACCATTTCTGGATGCCACACAGTGACCAGGGCTGTCAGATCTACAGTCAGCAAATAACAAAAGAGCACCATCCATCTCCTTCAGTTGCTGCGTCAGAGTATTCTGTTCGTTTTTCCAAGCTAAAATAAAAGCAGGGATTGTGTACAGTCTTTGATGCCTAAAGTACATGCCAGTGGAAATGGTTTGTACACCCAGTAAGGACAGCATTTGCAGAGTCTGTGACGCCATACATCCTGTAAAATGCATGGCCCCAGACAACAGCAGGTTTTTGTGGAGGATTGGTTGGTTCTGCCTGGACCTTGTGCGACCACAGTAACAACATGTCTAAAATATAGACAAAAATCTCCCATGTAAATTGAAGATCTAACATCAACAGAGAAACTGACACTTGTTAAGTAAAGAAACTGATTCACAAACCTGATGAACTTCTATAAAAGTGCCAGACTTTTTAGTGATGAAGGCCTCTGCTCTTTCACCACAATTGCAGAAGGAGAACAGCTGCATCAACTCATCATGGCACACAATATGATTGTCTGCCCTTGACAGTGAGTCGGAAAAGGGCAGAATGCCTTCTCCGGGTCATGGATGAGTTTCTGCCCCAAGTGGAGGAGTTTAAGTATCTTGGGGTCTTGTTATCGAGTGAGGGAAAACTGGAGCACAAGATTGAAAGGCAGGTTGGTGTTGCAGGCATTGTATCGGTCTGTTGTGGTGAAAAGAGAGCTGAATATATTTAAAGCATAAAAATATTTATAACCAACACAACTTGATGACAGCATCAATATCAAAACAGTCCAGTAGAGATGGTCCTGAACACCAGTGGCTAACTTATAAGTGGGGTGACCAGATGTCCCGCTTTGTGCGGGACAGTCCCGCATGTTCTAGACGTCCTGCAAATTGAGCCTTATGTCCCGCGTTATTGACAGTCTCCAGTTTCGAGTATAAATCTTGCATAAACTGTGTAGCGAAAGCTGCCAGTTGCTGTCCAACTAGGGGGCGGGACTTAAGCACAGGTTCAGAGTGCATCCAGCGCTCCCAGAAAATTAATTTTAAATAAACAAATAGATCTAAAAATGTTACCGGTATTTTTAGTCATTCTGTTGTTTCAATAAAAACTCTGAAAACCTGCTGTCTTTATTGTGGACTGATCTATATTTCTAAAATCAGATGATGGTTTGAAATGATTTGAACTAAAGTTATTCAGAGCCACTAGAAGGTCCAAAGAGCCTTGGTTAAGCTGTGGTAACTCTAGAGGAACTGTGAAATAATCGTATGTCTTCTGCTGTTTGCTTATTCAAATTCAATTCAAATAGAATACATGAAATATATATGATGATAACAATATTTTATGTATATTTACCAGTTAAGTTAAAGCTTAATGGCAAAATAGATGTTTTTACTCTAACTGATTGAATTGGAATTGCACATTGTCCTACATTTGGCAAGTTGTGATTTGGTCACCCTACCTACAAGTCCCCATCAGGATGTGATCCAAACCAGAAGGTTGGCTGTGGCCCAATCCAGTTGCCTCAGGGTTTCCAGTCTAGTCTCCAGACCCTGACTATGGGTTTAGTGTGAACTCATCTTCTATGTCCAGTTTCTGGTCCGTATCATGCGATACATCAGAGTCCTGATCCGTGTAAGCCTGACACGCAGCCTGAGGGTTCTCACCCGTCTGCCTCTGCTCTCGGTTCTGGATCCCCATCTGTTCAGGGCTCTGGTCGCCTCTACCACTGCTCCTCAGAGTGCAGTCCTCCTCGGCATTCCTCTTACTGCCCTGAGGGTTCTCCTGAGGAGTAAAGGACCAGAACCGCTTCAGTCCAGGTGTCTTGTTGGGTATGAGTGGTGACAAGGTTCTTTGGGTGATAACTCACCTGTTTCAGCCTCCTCCACTTTGCCCGGCGGTTCTGAAACCAGGTTTTTACCTAAAAACAACAAAATTAATCAGTTTATCCTGGGTCTATACAGGTATTTAGAGCAGATTAAAAAGACATACACTGTGCGACTTTTCTGTTAGTCTGAAGGCCCAATATACCAAAGTGCCCCCCCCCCCAACCACCCCCACCCCAAAAGAAAAAGAAAAAACAATACACAAACAAACTGGGCCTATAGCAGAACCAGAAACAGAACCCAATATGAAGCCAGGTAAGCCAACCTGAAGTCAGTTTGTTACATATAATGTGACAACTATAAAAATAATACACTGAAAAAAGTAAACCCTCTGCAGATCATCTGACATAATTTTTTACTTTGCTTTGATGTGAATGCATAACGTAATTTGAAATCACTTTTTGTACTTTTGTTTTAATCTAAATTCAGCACTCATAAACCAAAGTAAAAGAATTGAAGAACATTTCTCTCTTAAATCAGTTATTCTCTTGTCACATGATTGCTTGCTGCCAGAACACGCAATTAAGCAATATCACACGAGAGGGAATGCGTTGTTGCTGAATATCAGCACTGGTGTGATTTGGTCGTAGGCACGAGGCCGCAGGCCGAGTGTCGTACATAACTACACCAGTGCTGATTTTCAGCAACAACGCAGGACCTCGAGTGTGATATTGCTTTTATACAACAGTTCTACCTGCTCATTTTATTTTCATAACATCAATAAGCAACAACAGATTATGATTTGTTCATTTATTTAATCATTTATCAGGCTCCGCCAACACAAATAGTCTCAACACAAAACGGAGACTCAGGCAAGGTTGTTGCTAGGCAACACAAACATTTTCTACAAAGCACTGTAACTTTACTTCGTATCATTTACAATTATCTGAATGTTTCTGTGTGACTCCTTTGAAAAGATTGTTAGCTGGTATATCTCTGAGTCCTGCTTCATTCCATGAGCGCCCGAAGTCCGAGGTAGCTGCTGATGCTGTAGAGCTCCCCTTTAGCTGTCCGGATGGATCCATAAAGCTCCCTTAACACTGTGTTCAGTCTTCTTAACTTGCTGAAAGTTCACTTGGATATTTTAGAGATTGAGCCAAGTCTGAAAGCAGTTCAGAGCCCAGGCTGTCCACCTCACAGTGTTGACTTCCTTTTTGCCCTTTTTTAATTCGTCGAGGTCCTCTGTTGACATGTCAGCACACCTGGCTTGCGCTGATGTATTCGGACCACTTTCTTTCCCTTCAGTGTCAGAGTCTGATGAGCATTCATATTGTAGATCGAATGTTATGTGAGAAAATATGTCCATCTTTGCTGTGCGAAGTCCAAGAGTTAACGGAAGTAACGTTAATAATTAACTGAGAACACCTGCGTACAGCAGAGTGATACTGTTTGTAAACAGTCCCTGTGCTGTTATAGTCCAATATCAGCACTCTTGGGAAGTCTCCTGACCAATCAAATCACTCGGTCGGAACTAACTGTTGTATAATGCCAGTTATGTCAGACGCTCAGACGTTCCTCTACCAACCTCATCTATGCTATGTATATCTATGCTGTGTAAACCCTCTCATTCACCGGGTTAAACCCCGGTGAATGAGAGGGTAGCCTCCCTCCGCCCACGTTGGGGCGGGGGGGGGGGGGGGGGGGGGGGGGGGGGTTCTGGCTGTGGTTTGTGCTTATGCACCAAACTACAGTTCAGACTACCCACCCTTTTTGGAGACCTTGGAGGGGGTGCTGGAAAGCGCTCCTTCCAGTGACTCCCTCGTTCTGCTGGGGGAAATTAACGCTCACGTGGGCAACGACAGTGAGACCTGGAGAGGTGTGGTTGGGAGGAACGGCCCCCCTGATCTGAATTCGAGTGGTGTTTTTTTTATTGGACTTCTGTGCCAGTCTTGGATTGTCCATAATAACCACCATGTTCAGACATAAAGGTGTCCATATGTGCTCTTGGCACCAGGATACCTTAGGCCACAGCTCGATGATCAACTTTGTTGATGTTTCATCTGACCTGCGGCCGCATGTCTTGGACACTCGGGTGAAGAGAGGGGCGGAGCTGTCAACTGACCACTACCTGGTGGTGAGTTGGCTCAGATGGTGGGGGAGGATGCCGGTCAGACCAGGCAGGCCCAAATGTATCGCAAGGGTCTGCTGGGAACGTCTGGCAGAGTCTCCTGTCAGAAGGAGCTTCAATTCCCACCTCCGACAGAACTTCCAAAATGTTCCGGGGGACGCAGGGGACATTGAGTCTAAATGGACCCTGTTCCGTTCCTCCATTGTTGAGGCGGTCGACCGGAGCTGTAGTCGCAGGATCATCGGTGCCTGTCGTGGTGGCAACCCCCGAACCCGCTGGTGGACACCGGCGGTTAGGGATGCTGTCAAGCTGAAGAAAGAGTCCTATCAGGTCTTCTTGGCCTGTGGGACTCCAGAGGCAGCTGACGAGTACCGGCAGTCCAAGCGGAACGCGGCTCAGGTGGTTGCCGAGGCAAAAACCCAGGCATGGGAGGAGTTCAGTGAGACCATGGAGCAAGACTTCCATACGTAGGCTTCGAGGCTATTCTGGTCCACCATCCGGCGCCTCAGGGGGGGAAACCAGTGCACTACCAAATCTATCTATAGTGGGGATAGTGTGCTGCTGACCTCTCCTCGAGACGTTGTGGATCGGTGGGCAGAATACTTCGAAGACCTCCTCAATCCCACCAACACGTCTTCCTGTGAGTAAGCAGAGTCTGGGGTCTTTGGGTTGGCCTCTCAAATCTCTGGTGCTGAGGTCACTGAGGTCGTTAAAAAGCTCCTCTGTGGCAAGGCTCCAAGGGTGGATGAGATCCGCCCCGAGTTCCTTAAGGCTCTGGATGTTGTGGGGCTGTGTTGGCTGACGCGGCTCTGCAATGTCGCGTGGACATCGGGGGCAGTCCCACTGGACTGGCAGACCGGGGTGGTGGTCCCCTTATTCAAAAAGGGGGACCGCAGGGTGTGTTCCAACTACAGGGGGATCACACTCCTGAGCCTTCCTGGTAAGGTCTATTCAGGGGTTCTAGAGAGGAGGGTCCATCGGATTGTTGAACCTCAGATTCAGGAGGAGCAATGTGGTTTTCGTCCTGGCCGTGGAACACTGGACCAGCTCTATACCCTTAGGAGGATCCTGGAGGGTGCGTGGGAATTTGCCCAACCAGTCTACATGTGTTTTGTGGATTTGGAGAAGGCTTTTGACCGTGTCCCTCGGGGGGCTCTGTGGGGGGTACTCTGGGAGTATGGGGTACCAGGCCCTCTGATATGGGCTGTTAGGTCCCTGTATGACCGGTGTCAGAGCTTGGTCCGCATTGCCGGCAGTAAGTCAGACTCATTCCCAGTGAGAGTTGGACTCCGCCAGGGCTGCCATTTGTCAACAATTCTGTTCATAACCTTTATGGACAGGATTTCTAGGCACAACCAAGGTGTGGAGGGCATCCGTTTTGGTGGCCTGAGGATCAGGTCTCTGCTTTTTGCAGATGATGTGGTCCTGTTGGCTTCATCAGAACGTGATCTTCAGCTTTCGCTGGAGCAGTTTGTAGCAGAGTGTGAAGCAGCTGGGATGAGAATCAGCTCCTCTAAATCTGAGACCATGGTCTTGAGTCGGAAAAGGGTAGAATGCCTTCTCCAGGTCAGGGATGATGTTCTGCCCCAAGTGGAGGAGTTTAAGTATCTCGGGGTCTTGTTCACAAGTGAAGGAAAGCTGGAGCATGAGATTGATAGGTGGATTAGTGCTGCGTCTGCAGTGATGCGGGCGTTGTACCGGTCTGTCGTGGTGAAGAGAGAGCTGAGTCAGAAGGCGAAGCTCTCGATTTACCGGTCGATCTATGTTCCTTCCCTCACCTATGGTCATGAGCTTCGAGTAGTTACCGAAAGAACGAGATCGCAGATACAAGCAGCCGAAATGAGTTTTCTCCACAGAGTGGATAGGTTCTCCCTTACCCCAAAATTCCACTATCTCCGCTCCGCTCCGGCACAAACTCCGCAGCAAAATCGGTCCTGTTGTAGTCAATCAGAGCTATCCCACTACTGCGGCCGTGCGGCGCAGTGCGCCGCCCGCCGTTCTGCCATCCGGCAAAAATAGGATCGATTCTATTTTTGCCGGATGCCGGAGCACCTCCGCAGTCAATAGACAGAAATCACAACCGTCCAACAGGAAAAGGAGCAAGCACAGCTTCCGTTATTTCACAATAAATCAATAAACAAAAAGCGTTTTTTTGTTTCATATGGATAGGTTTAACAACTTTTAATAACTATCAATGGCGGCTGAACTTTAAATGCACAAAAGTAAGCCATAAATCCACTATCAAAGTAGTCACCCTTTGTTGATCCAAACACTGCTGATCTCTCAACACAAATGATGGGCAGATTAAACAGTTCATTTCGATGCTTCTCCCGAACAACGGGTGTTTGGATCTAACTTCCACATTTATTGCTCAGACTGTATCGCAAGATCTCGAAAATCCCACGCATGCCTGTTTGCCCACCTCAGGTCTCCGCACCGGGGCGGAGCCGTTGTAGAGCGGGTATAGTATAATTGGAGTTCGGAAGCAAGCGGCAGCGGAAAGCGGGGGCGGAGCGGAGATAGTGGAATTTTGGGGTTAGAGGTAGGGTGAGAAGCTCGGTCAACCGGGAGGGGCTCGGAGTAGATTCGCTGCTCCTCCACTTCGAGAGGATCCAGTTGAGGTGGCTCAGGCATCTGGTCAGGATGCCTCCTGGACGCCTTCCTGGTGAGGCTTTCCAGGCATGTCTAACCAGGAGGAGACCTAAAGGAAGACCCAGGACACGGTGGAGGGACTATGTCTCTCAGTTTGCCAGGGAACGCCTTGGGATTTCCTCGGAGGAGCTGGCCCAAGAGGCTGGGGAGAGGGAAGTCTGGGCCTCTCGACTTCGGCTACTGCCCCCACGACCCGACTCCAGATAAGCGGAAAAAAATGTGTATATGCATACACACACACACACACACACACACATATATATACATATATATACGTATATATATATATATATATATATATATATATATATACGTATATATATACGTATATATATATATATATATATATATACGTATATATGTATATATATGTGTGTATATATACACACACACACACACACATATATATATATATAAATAATCTGCGATAACATGCTCGAGCTTGTTCTCAAGGCGGCCACAGGGGATGAAGGGATCAAGCTATGAATGAACACATGTGGAGTTATGTACTTAACCAAAAAAGGTAAAATAACTGAAAACATGTTTTAGATTCTATTTTCATCAAAATAACCACCCTTTGCTCTGATTACTGCTTTACACACTCGTGGCATTCTCTTGATGAGCTTCAAGAGGTCGTCCTTAAAGATCTTTGGAGAACCATTTCAGGTGACTACTTAATATTTTTGTTTCGTTTTTTTTGTGACAAATGAATTTTCAGACTAAAACGAAATGAAAAGTAAAAACACACGCCAATAAAGACTAAATTATGATGGATATTGATCGACATTTACATTGACAAATAAGAGAGGACAACGAAAATTAACAGAAACGTAAATCCAATCAGAAAATGGAAAAGATGGGACAACGGAAAAGAGAACCCATCAGCAAATGGAACAGGCGACACCTGACAAGAAAAGAACCAATCAGAGTCCGGATATGGCCGCTGTTTGAGCAAGCTACCACTAACCGGACGTCTATGCTGCAAGAGTTTGTCTAAAACAGGTGTGTCCACAGCGCGGCCCAGGGGCCATTTGCAGCCCTCTGAGTGATTTTGCGACGCCCTAGCGTTTTTAGAATTGTGGAATTAAGAGGACGAGGAAGAGGAGGAGGAGGAGGACGAGGAAGCGGAGGAGGAGGAGGAGGGAGGGATTTGTGGAGCCAAACCAAGCATTGAATCTGGTCGGTTTAATGTACTTGTGGTGCTGCTGTGGCTGATGTTATCAGCGTTCAGAGTTCAGTGTTCTCCTTTATACATTATTGTCAGGCAAATAAATACACTTGAAAACAATGCTCACCTTTATCTCATCGCATGTCTCATTAGTTTGATATCATGATGTCATTTCCTGTTGTGTTTACAAATATTAGACAAATGTGTTTACTATATTAACCCTAAGGCCCACTCAATCGTATGTCATACACACATTTCTAAGATTGTAATAGCTGTATCTCTTTAGCTAGATTAGCATTTTCCAAAACAATCTGCTGTCTTAAATCTTTTAAGGGTTTTCTGCCTGCTCATGGATTATTTATGTACTTAAGTGTCAAGTGGGATTTTTATTTAGTATAATTATTGTTGTATTATTATGGAATTACTTGATACATTTAATATGAAAGTTAATAATTGTTATATTATCATTACCAATCAAATGTTTAAAAGTTTAATAAATCTGAGTCTTTTAAATATTATTTAATGTGTTGGGTCATAAAGGGTACAATTTCAAACTGTGAGTGCTTATTTTGGTATTTTTCAGTAATAATTATTTTAAAAATATATACAGTTTTACTGACCCAGGGTGTGAAATGTGAATTTTTCATATTTCTTTAGAGTTTCAAGTAGTAGTTAGCAATTCCTTTACAGAAGTTAAAAAATATTTCACTTTCTGTTTTACTCAACTAAAATAAGATTGAGCAGGGTTTATGGTTTATCGCTTGGGTTCATGTGGCAGGGGTGAGGAGTGAGCACCACCTCACCCCTGCCACGTGGACCCTCTGGGATTAATAAAGTATTTTTGAATTTGAATTGAATCAATCCTGCTCAATGGTCAACTTTCCTCACGGGGTCACACCCATTAGGACAGTGGGAGGGTTAAACGAAATTGGATGACAAAAGATTAAGACTAAAACTCATTTTAAAATAATTGACTAAATGAACACTACTAAGGATAAAGGTGAGAAATTGTACTTTAAATGAGGTTTGGATTGTGGGAGGGTCGAGTTTGAGCTTTTCATGTGTTTGAGAATTGCTACAATAAGTAGCTAGGCTTCTGACTGCAGGCTTTAGTGTGTTGGGTTTTGTTTGTGTCTACTTAAGTGTTATTGCTTTATAAGATACAGTAGTCACTCATTAAGTGGCTAATAAATTATAGAGCCATCAGTGACCAGATAGCTTTAGATGAGCATTACAACCCACAGTATTTGCAAGGTGGAGGTCTACACTCTCCAAGTGCTTTCTGTTTTTTTTTATTAATCTTGCTTGAGTGACTTAACTTCCTTTTGACCCTCTCAGGCTCAAAATAAGTTTTGATAAAAGGACGAACAACTGAGTCCTATAGGGGTACTTCTGGGTTAAAACATGCTCATGAAACACGTACGTGGAGTAACCAGGAAGGTTTTAACGTATCTGCAACGCCTGCCTCCAGAGGGTAAATGTGTCTGCCCTGTTTTGTTAATACAGTGCTGCAAAACACTGATTTGTGATCATTTGTGGTGTGTTATTGAACCATATTAGAAATATCAAGAAAAACTAATTATTTTAGGTGTAGAAAATCGAACAATTTCTTTAAGTTGATCCAAAAAAGCTGTTACCAATGTTTTATATCATTACTATATGAATGGTAATTTCAGAATTTCTTTCAACAATCACTAAATTATTTCTGCATTATTACATACTGTAATAATAATAATAATAATAATAATAATAATAATAATAATAATAATAATAATAATAATAATTCACCAATTAAACAAATTCATTTAAGAGAACAAAAAACTAAATATATCTGCTGAAGGTGCAGGAAAAGCAGTTATTCCTTAGGACCAGAGAAATGTTCCTGTGGGATAAGAGCCGCTGGGTCGGGTCAGAACCACTTGAAACTCAGACTCTATCCCATAAATATATTTATTTCATATGATTTGGTATTCAGGGGCTCCGATCATTTAAATCTGATTTTAACAGATGGTCTGAGGCCGGCCTCGTGTTGTTGTTGTTGTTTACCTGTCTCTCGCTAAGCTGCAGCATCTTAGCCAGGCGTTTCCTCTCCGGGGGGGACAGGTATTTCTGCGTCTCGAACTTCTTCTCCAGCTCTACGGTCTGATCGTTGGAGAACCGGACCTGGCCGCCTTTCCGCTTGTGCAGAGGCCGCTGGATGAAAGGAGTCCACAGCAAAGGTTTCCCTGCAGAGACACGGTGGGGTCGGGTCTGGGTCACTTCAGCCATGCAAAAGTCTCCCCACTGAACGCTTTGGTTAATAAACATAGAGTTCAAATGTGGATGGCTATCTGGGATCATCTGTAATCAGCTGCAGGAGCGCGCGCAGGAACGTGACGGAGGAAAATGGGCCCAAATATCCGCTCAGAACTTCCAGCTTCAGTTCAATCTGGTCCGAATCTAGAATTGAAGATTTACCCGGAAATCAAGAAAAACTGGGTTTATTTAGACATCTAATCCCAGTAAACGGGGTTTTATCGTCTTTTGCCGTTTTTAAGTTTATTTCTGACAAATGTTTTATTTCACATAATAATATATTCATATTAATTATCTTAAAAAATCTGATTTATTATCACGTTTTTAAAGATCACTGCATTACTGTAATTATTCATTCCCGCTGTGAAAAGCAAAAGGTTGAGCAGAAACCCTTTTCTGTTAATAACAGTGTTTAAACGACGAATAAAAACAGAGACTGCAAATGAAATAAACGGATTGTGTAATAAATGAATAAATCGTTGCGTTTGTTGTGCGTTGAAACGAACAGGATGTTGTTGGTGACGCTTTGACATGTTTTTCCTGTTTTCTCTGACATCTTGTGACTTTATCTCTGTCTCCTTCGATCCTCTCGGCCTTGCTGCTGTGTTGGCTTTGTGCTTTGTGCTGTGGTCGCAGCGCACAGAGAAAGTCGGCCACATCCTCGGGCCCTGCAGAGGAAGTGCAACAATGAGTGAAAAACGGATCCCGGGCTATCAGAGGCCGAGTGTTTCCTGAATATGTCTGTATTGAGGATGTCGATAAAATAATCAGCAGCATGCAGCGGGCTCCCGAGGAAGCGGCTGGCCGGCCTGAGACAGGAAAACATTTAACAGCTTCTGAAACCAGATTTGCTGCTATCGACAGGCTCACGCCTTCCGCTCTGAACGGAAAAGGGTGGAGGGTGTATGGGAGTCATTATAAGCAGTGATGATCCAGACATGGTCCATGTCAGCGGGTCCTTCTGATGTCTCGAAACAATGGGACTCAGGAAACACACACACACACACACACACACACACACACACACACACACACACACACACACACACACACACACACACACACACACACACACACAGTGTGTCACAATAGAAGTGTGACTCAGAAGTGCGTGGTCAGTCATCAGCAAGAAATGTGCTGTACAGCACTGAACCCGAAACCCGGGCCTGCAGTGGACTGGGCCTGCTGCTGAGACCATGCAGATGTGTACAGTCAGTACAGATGTTGTGAAGTTTGATGTGCACGGTTAAGCGTGATGCTGACGCAAAGACGGTTTCTTTGTCACCGAAACGAAGCTTGTGAGGAGAAAGGCTGTCATGCAGAAAAGTCACACACACACACACATACACAAACACACACACACACACACACACACACACTTGTATTTATATGCTTGTGTGGACCTCTATTGACTTTCCTTCATTTTAGAGATTCCCTAAACCTAACTCTAACCTAAACTATAAACGAATTCACACACACACACACACACACACACACACACACACACACACACACACACACACACACACACACACACACACACACACACACACACACACACACACACACACACGCAGAGAGAGAGAGAAGCCTGGATCAAAGAACCGAGCTCGAAAAGTGGAACCATCAACTCATGAGCGGATGGGCCAGCAGAACCACAGTACATCAGAAATGTCCATGCTCACCCAACGCGTCGTGCCTCAGCAGCGCCTGCGCGTACTCCCCCACGGAGCGGGGCTGCTGCAGCGGGTACACGGAGCCGAACGCACACGGACCATACAGGGCCGGGTGAATCGGTGTGGGCTCGTAGATGGGCGTCCGGTACGGAGCCATCAGGCTAGTGAAGGACGAGTTCGGTGACGGTAGAGTAGGCGTGGGGATGAGCGGAAAGGAGCAAGAGGAGGATGAAGGTGAAGGAGAAGTCAGGGCGGCGGTGGTAGAAGTCCTCCCCAGGATATCTTCGATGTAGAAGGGGGTTGGGTGAGCCGGCTGGACAGGGGTCGGTGCGTACAGCGGGACGCTCATGCTGCTCCCGTCGCCCTGAGGCACGTCTGAACGGTCTACAGCAAAATTCCCCAACAGACCGGACGGTTAGAGGGTTCTGGTGCCCATCAGGGTGGTGTTGCTCTGCTCGCTCCAACGCTGCTTGTTATCTGAGGCAGGAGGAGGGAGGAGATAAATGGACGGAAGACTTCCTGCAGGTGGCCGCTGACCGCCTCTGATTGGCTTTGCAGCAGGCTCAAACGAGTCCTGCAGAGGCAGCGGCTGGAAACTGAAACAATCGGGCCAGATAATTTCATTCTTGACATGAAATCTCGTTTCACACTCAGTGTCTTGGTTCAGAAAGGAACCAGCACGAACAGCAGGCTCAATAGGTCAGCATGGCGCGTTCAGGTCATGTTTGTAGGAGATCTAGCATCTAGGCAAAACCCCTGCGTGTGAAACCATCTGGATTCAGCGGATTGAGTGTTACGCTTTCAGTCTATATTATAATATTGAACCTTTTCCCAATATTCCAATAGTGTGATTGGCAGCTGTATAAGCCATCATCATCATCATCATCATCATCATCATCATCATCATCATCATCAAAGTTATAACAAATAAAGTCTAAAACTTGTGGCTGAACGGGCAGTTTCACCTTTGAAGTAGAAAACTGACCTAAATGAACTCTATAGCACCAAACTGGCATTTTTCCAGCTTCACCTAAAGCTCGTGCACACGCCCTTCATCGTTCATCAGACGTGAACACGCGGCCTGCAGCAGCAGACTCGGGCCTTCTCCTAACAAGACACGCGCTAGCTGGTTATTAACTTGTAAGTTCTGCAATTTTACATTTGTTAAAAACTGAAGAATTTATTTAGTCGTCGTAAAATAACCATACACGTGTGTAGAAATTAGTTTATCAAAGGACTTCCGGTCTTTTATACTAAACAATGTAACAGATGCGCAGCTGAACGGACCCTTCCTGTTAAATCTATCTGCAGATAGCAAATGCAAATGTCCCTAATGGCTCCTGAAGTCGGACGGGTTTGAGGCAGCTGGACCACCAGGTGAGTCCGGGTACATCCTCTCAGGTTATCCTGAGATGTGTGCGTGTGTGTGGGGGGATCCAGTGGCTGATATGTGGTTAAAGTGCGCTCTGCTTCACGCTAACTTTCTAACGGCTATAATTTAGATAAAGTGAGCAAACAGGCACATGAGCGGCCTTGAACACTTAAAAGAAACCCAAACGGACAATATTTACCATCATTGATCGCAGCTTCCACTGGCGTCTGATAGCGTCTCCCAAGGGTCCCTGCAGCAGAGGCCTCCCCAGGCGGGATGCTGAAAACATGTTTTCTGTCCTCTCCACCAGAGCAGGAACCACATTGTGTCATATATTTATTTTATTGCATTAGCTTATAAGTAAATCAAAGTACATCTCATTCTAAAAGAACGTAAATATAATTTTGACCAATTTATTACATTTTTTAAATGACAAGCTTTATCATTTTAAATATAACATCTATTTTAATTTGTCAAATGTAGGCCTACACAGTAAAAGACCAATCAGGGAAAAGGGGAAAGTAACTTAAAAGTAACGCAACTATTGCTGAACTCAATCCTGGGACTTAAATGTGTTTATAATAAAAAAACAAAAAATTCTTATATGTTAAAAACACCTATAACTGAATATTTATCTCTGATCTCAGATCAGATTGAAGGCCATCGCCACCTAACAGCTGCTCAGGAGCGCCCCCTGCTGCGTGTCAGGAACAGGAACAGCCAGCCCGAGGTCGGAAGCCTCCAGGTGTCTAGAATGGTTCAGAGACGAGGACTTTGGTCTTTGTGCGTCAGTTATGCTCAAACTGGTTGTCTTTTAA